AATCAGGAGGGATCTCCCTGAGCTGCTTTTCAACCCCTGAGTGTCTAAGCTTCCTCTTGGCTTTGGTTGGAAAGTAAGGGCTGGATGGAACAGGGTGAGCTTGCTAGCCTTAACTAAGCATAGTGCAGCTAATATGGACTCCGGACCTAGACCACCTGGGTTCGAATCCTGGCCCAGCCACTTGCCAGCTGTACGTGACCTGGGCCAGGTTTCACGACCTTGCAAAGGTCTCAGTCTCCCAATATATAAAATGGGAATAACAATAGTATCCACCTTACTGTCGTAGCAAAGAGTAAAGGAAATACAAAAGAAACATTTGCAACCATGTCAATTACAGAAGGTAATTTTTTTCATCCCATCTCTATTTTCTTGCTCACCTCTTCTTGACACTTCTCCACTAAGACACATAATATCTGTGATGATCACCAACTCAACACACTTCCATGGGTGGACTGAGACATGAAAGACTATTATACTTCCAAAACTATTATAGTGGAAGACTGTTCTGTGTAGGATACTTATGAAAAGCATCTCACCAGCATGACAGGACTTAGAAGCCGTCTGTGCTCAGAACTACAACACTAAGGACTGCAGCTTAGACAGGAGTGGGTGGGTGGCACACGTTCCCTCCAGGGCCAGCCACAAAAATCACAGAGGGATGCAAAAGTGACGCTGTTATTCTATTCTAGGGGTAAAAAGTGAATCAAATGCAAACACCAGTATTTAACTCCTGCAAGTAATAAAGTACTTAGATACACCTCACTCCTAAATTCATGCCATAGCCAACAGGGTTGAGAAATACTCCTTAGCCATCATATATAACCTCCCCAGCTGGGGCCAAGGTCCAGCAGGCCTTAACACAAGCATCGCAGGGTGGGGGCGGTTTACAGGGAAAACCCCACCAAACCCAGTCATGAAAGCTGATCCCCATGGCCTGTCCAGATTTTTCAGACCTGACAAACGGCCCCAACAGAAAGGCTCCTGTTCTCTTTGCAGAAAGTTATGTGTTCAGACAAGACAGCTCCGGGATTTTGAAGAAATAAAGTGATTCTTCCAACCCCTCTCCTGCACACATACAGCTTTCCAGATGCGACAAAGTCAGGGAAACATGAATTTAAGCAATGAAAGAATAAATAACACAGCCCAAGTGGGCAAACACAGCTCAAGTCCCCATGCTTCCAGCCAACAGAGAACATGGTTAAAAGCACTAAGGCTCCTGGGACCCAACTTGGCGACCTTCCAAGAGCTATTAGTTTGCATTAACACACTGAAAGAGAAGGTCAGATAAATTAAAAGTGAGAAGGTAATTTTGAAGAAGGACGTCTTTATACTCAGCACCGGCACAGGGCATGGCTCATGGCAGCTGCCATATAAACACTCAATGAACACACCTGCAGCTGGCAGAGGTCACGCCATGCTCAGACTTTTGATGTTGACACAAGATGCAAGATACCACAGAGACAAGATTTAGATTAGAAACTCTAAGGGGCACCGGGGGGCTCAGTCAGTTAAGTGTCCGACTTTGGCTCAGGTCATGATCTCACGGCTCGTGAGTTCAAGCCCCATGTTGGGCTCTGTGCTGACTATTCAGAGCCTGGAGTCTGCTTTGGATTCTGTGTCTCCCTCTCTCTCTGCCCTACCCCCACTAGTTCTCTCCCTCTCTCTCTTTCTCTCTCAAAAAAAAAAAAAAGCATTTAAAAAAATCTTTAAAGAAAGAAACTTTAACAAGGGTCGGGAGATCTTTACTCAATTTCAAACAAATTAGAAAGTACAATTATCTTCTGGTTATTAGGAGTGACTCTGTACTTCAAAGCACTTGAGAACTTTCAAGGCAGCCTAGTAAAACTTGCATTGACAAGTACCAGATTTATTTGTGACCCAAACCTCTCAACTCTCACCCACAATGGCATCCTCCCCCAATATAAAATTATTCCCTTTATTTTTTAAAAAGTACCTGGATTCTGGAACACATACATCTTCCTTCAGCCAAAACTATCAATTAACTGATCACCTGACACAAGGACCCTTTCTCAAACTTTGACACTCATCACAATAAACCCTCTGAGACAAAGCTCCTGGCAGTATATGCTTTCCTGATATTTACTACAATAATATCAACAAAGAAAGCCACCCCCCCCACCACCCCTCCTTTCTGGGCCCAGAAGGCCGAAAGACACAAGGAGGACGGAATAAAATGAGTACCCACTACTTTTTACATCTCTTGGCAAGGAGCAGGGCAACTACCCACCTGGATGATCACAAGTGTGAGAGAGGACATGAACCTCCCAACCCAAGTCTTATGATGACCGCTCTATGCAGTTTTCTGGACATCTCTGCTGCACATACCGGTCACTGTCTGTCCCCTGCCAAAATCAACCTGAGGGTAACTCTGCAATGACTTAGATCCCAAGCCACATGGAGCATTTGGAAAGGTGGTGTTAAGTGAGGGACATCTACAATGGACCCTGAGGAGCCACACTTCTAAGGGAGGAACCAAAGGCCTCCCCTTGGGCTAGAATCACAGGGGGACTAGCATTTCAATGCTTTTGGAGGCCAGCTGGGCAGAAGGCTGGCTTAGTTATTTTTAAACTGAGAAACTGAATGGGAAGGGAGAAAATTTGAATTCCTGTGCTCTCCTGAAATGAGGTCCCTTCCAGCTCCAAGATGCTACTGAAGAACATTGCATAGGCACATACTTCTTTATGAGAATGTACACATACATACATACGTGTGAGTGTATATGTCTGCTCTATTCACACATGGAACACAAAGTGCTTGAAATGTACACTGCTGGGATCACAAAGCCCGTGGGCTGCTTTGCAGCACGTCTGGAGCACCCAGATGCCACTGACAGATATGGGCAGAGTCTGAGCCCCCAGTCTCCCGCCATCACAGTCCACCTTAACACCAGCCGGCAACTGCTCCTGTAGGTGCAAACCCCCAAAGCCCCAACCCAAGCCTGCAGACTCCTTTCTCCTAGTGATTCTGGTCACAAGTGTCCCAAACCCAGGCAAGCTGGAACAAAGGTGGAGACCAAAGGAAAAGCCAGCACCCAGCTCTGCCAGAGTGTGGGTGTCAGGCAGAGGCACTCGCTTCTCCTCTTTTCGCAGCACCTAGAAGGGGCAGAAGGGTCACCCTCTTCACCCTCCTCTATCATGGCCTTTTTCAGAACCTCTCCACTTCACTCCGACTACACTGAGTTGGTAACTGGAGAAAACTAAAAAGGCCTCTAGAAAATGGAGCGTCACTCTAATCCTGACAAAGTTAAGGTTGCTTACCTCAGCCCTGAACAAGAACAAGAACAAGAATTTGTAGGAAAGCAGGAAGTGGGGGTGGTGGTGAAAACTCATTTATTAAGTCAGATCTGTGATGGGCTTGCCCATCGCGAAAAACTGTTTTTGATTTCTTGAATCAAAACAAGGCAGGTCTGATCCTGCATCAAGGATCAGGATAAGGGTGATGCAGTAGCTAACATGGTGGTGGGTGGGGAGGGGGTGCTCGAGGAGTAAAACCCAGCCAAGTTGCTCAGGTCCTGATAATGAACACAGGCAGGGGCACCAGCCCCCCACTTGCCTCTCTTTACAATGAGATCCTGCCGCTCATGCTCGATTCTGAACTGTGTTTCCAGGTGCACCGGGCCATCCCACCGAGCCCGGTACAAACCTTAGCCTTCCCCTCCCCAACTTCACAGCTCCATAAATGCCCAACCTTCCCTAAACGGGCGGCCACAGCCAGGTGCAAACAAACTGTGCCCTCCCCTGCTCCGGGCTTGGCAGTCAGAACCAGGAGCACCGGGCTCTAGACCCCGACCCCGGCATCTGAGAACCTCAAGCATCGCCTGGTTCCCTCAGAGCACCCCGCTGGCGCTCGCAACGCGGCTGGACAATGCAAGCGCCACCTCTTCCCTCTTGCGCGCGGTAGCTACGAAACCACGGCTTTGTGTGTGACAGCAAGTGTGTGCGCGAACGTCCCCGGCTCACACACCCCCTTCCACCCAGTCTGCTCCCTGCGCGAGGTCCGCGCGCTCAGCGAGTGCATAGAGAGCGGGTCCGACCGCACCGCCAGGCCTCTGGCCTCCCAGCCTCGGACCTGGCCTCGAGAGAGAGGGATGACATCCACACCCCCGTTCCCAGCCGCGGGGGCGGTCGGCGCGAGTAGCGTCGGGAGCTGAGCAAAGGCTAGGCAGGGGCCAGGGGCACCAAAGGGCTACAGGCGGGCGCCGCGCCCCCCACCCACGCGCTCCGTCTCCCCCAACTTAGCTCGCAGCCGACCCGGAGGGGGCCGGGGCGGCTCGCGACTCGGCAGGAAGTTCCCAGGGCCGCACTGAGCATGCTCTCGGGGAGTGTGTGCGCGGGTGTGGGCTCTGCGCTCCCCGCAGCCTCTTCGGCCAGGCAGCCTGGCGGAGCGCGCGGGTGGGATCGCGGGGCCGGCGGCCGGCCCTAGGGGTGGGGGTTTCCTCGGGCTTCCTTGGTCCCCCAGCCCGGAGGAGCTCCGGCCGCCGCATCCCTTCTCTTCTGGGCCTGGGGCCAACCTCCCTTCTTCCTCTCCCCTGGCCGGTGGCGGAGCCCGCCCTGTGCGCCCGGGTCCCGGGGACCCCAGCTCGGCCCACACCCGCAGCGCGACCCCACCAGCCTCCTCCGAGGTCCGAGCGCCCATCTGCCATCCCCGGCAGCTCGCCTCCGGTCCGCGCCACCAAAGCCTCCTCTGGTCAGTCCTTTTCCCAAAGGGCCCTGGGGGGCCTCCTGTCTCCCCTGGGGAGGGCTGCCCCGGGCAGGTGGGCGCCTCAAGGCGCGTCCCCCGCTGCACTCCCGGGTCCCGCAGAGCGGCTGCAGCCAGGGCACCCACGCAGGAGGCGGGCGGAAGCCCCTGGCCGCGCCGCCCTCGGTGCAGGCTCTCGCCGCCCGCGCTCAGCTCCCCGCGCCCTCCGTGGTCCCCTCTGCGTGCATCTCTCCGCGGGGATGGCAAGCCCGACGCGATCTCCCCGACCCAGTAGCTCTCACCTCCTTGTTGAGCAGCAGCAGTAGCAGCAGGGAGCTCCCGCCAGCCGCGGTCCCCGCGGGGCCCACGACACGGCGGGGCACGGGGTCGCGGCGCCCCGAGCCTGCGGCGCGGCTACCTGGGTTGGATCGCGCCCGGGGCCGCCGCGGCTGCCGCCGGAGCCGCA